AACCAAAAATGAGACTGGCAGACCAAAATAAGAGACCAGCAAACCCAAAAATGAGACTGGCAAACAAAAATGACACTAATAAAACCAAAAAGAGACTGGCAAACAAAAAAAGAGCCTAAAAATGAGACTAGTAAACCCAAAAAGGAAACTAACAAATATAAAAATAACAATAAGAAACTGAAAATAAATACCAGAAAACTCAAAAAGGAGACTAGCAAACAAGAAAATTAGACTAGCTAACACGTAAATTAGACTAGCAAAACCCCAAAAATGAGACTAGCATGGACAAAAATGAGACCAGCAGACACAAAAATTTAAATTTGAAAACTCAAAAAATTTGACTGACAAACATGAAAGTTGTAGACCCAAAAATGAGACCATCAAACCCAAAAATGAGACTAGGAAACCCAAAAATCTGTTTATATAAGGGTGGAGTCATCAAGGTTCCCTGTAACATGCGTACCATATTCTAACCAAAGATGGGTCTATTGTCAACAGGTCCAAGTTTAAAGATTTTAAGGAATAATTTAGTTTACTAGTCTCATTTAATCATTTGCTCGTCTAAGTTGTGGGTTTGGTAGTGTCATTTTTGTCTTGGCCATTTTCATTTATGTCTTGTAGTCTTATTTTTGGTTTGCTTGTCTCAATTTGGGTTTGTCAGTTTCATTTCTAGAAGCCTTTACTGCATGCCAGTTGACCAGGTCAAAAGGCACTCGTGTACATCATCGCCAAACCGCAACAACACCATTGAGGGTGATTTGAGACTAAATCAGAAGGGAGTCAGTCTTCAGGTCTGCAGAAATACTTAAAAATTAGAGGGAGAGAGGGAAAAGGGCAGACGGGCTCCTTTCGTGTCCTCTATTAGCTCGTCAGAAAGAGCCATCAGTGAAAGACTATAATCAAGCTGTCAGCATTAAGGTTAAAGAAAGCAGACATTTTAAAAAGTAAAAGTCAGATTTCAGATTTTTTTGTGAAGGTACTGAGAGAAACAAAGATGGACTTCAAAATCAAGTTTCTGTCCTGCCATCTTTTCAGCCTTCTGCTGTTGCTGATTAGACATCAAGACCAGACGGTACGAAAAAACATGGCAGCTAACATCTAATCTCCCAGAAAGCAGATGCTATGCTAGTGCCAATCTGCCACAGACTGACAGACTATATCTGCTAACTCAAGGCAATCTTCTTGATATATTGGGGATGAGTTGGTGAGGAAAGTATGGCCCTGGCTGCACCCCAACTTACTATGATCAGGATTAGTTCAATGGATAATCCCCTTGACATCTGCTTATTAGATGATGAACCCTTCATCCAGATTTTTTTTTGCATTTTAGAACATTTTAGTTGCAAAGCCTCAATTTTCTGGACAACAAATCAATATCTATGTCCAAAAGTCTTTGGAATGTGCTATAAGGGCTGAAATTACACCACTGCAGTGACAAGGGCAACCAGTTAGGGATCGAGTGTCCCTTCAAAATAACAAAAAAAGTGCTGACTAATATTGCATTTCATTCTATATTCAAGCAGGATGGTATATTGCTGTAAAATAGAAATGATGCCTACCTTACTCATACGTAAATCATGACTCATGTAGTTTGAAAATGCAGCATTGGCAAGAGCTGTGTTTAACTCGACTGGACCACACTCGTCAGAGCTGTTAGACAAACAAATCTTCCTACAAATCTTTAATGCTAAAATAATTCCAACATACTTTTCCCTACTCATTTTTCCACAGCTCTCTATATTGATGGATGGATGGATGAATGGATGGATGGATGGTAGATGGATGGACCGATGGATGGATGGATGGATGGATGGATGGATGGATGGATGGATGGATGGATGGATGGATGGACCGATGGATGGATGGTTGAATGAATGGATGAATAATTGGATGGATGGATGA